TTCCCGATCGTTCTGTCAGTTAGCACTGAGATTGAGTGCTCGGTTTTATGCGAGTGAGGTAAGTAAATTATGGTAAAGCCCTTCGATTTTAAAGCATGTTTTCAATTGTTTTTGAGATGGTGGCAAGGTGCAAATTGATTTTAAATTGATTTATCCGCATCTGTGTGTGATTAAACTGAAATGGAAATTGTGATGATTTTTATAAAAATCATTGTTTTTCTGGAATTGAGCATGATTGGAATGAAAATGGGAATTTCGTTGTTTTTTCTGGAATTGAGCATGATTGGAATGAAAATGAGGATTTTATTGATTTTCTGGAATTGAGTATGATTGAAATGAAAATGAGCATTTCATTGTTTTTCTGAAGTTGAGCATGCCTATTTGGAAATTGACTGAACTGTTTTGATGAACTGAGAGTTTGCAAATTCTGAGTTTTCTGTTAAATCCATGCTCACATGGAAATTTTCCGGTTATTTCTGAAATTGGAGATTGATTGTGAATTCTGGGTTTTTCTGTAAATTCTGCACGGTTTTGTCTCGGATATAGTCATGATTACTGACGCCCACTAGTGGGAGCTGTAAACGCTAGCACATGTTGACATGTATTTCTGTAGAACCGGTTCGTCCTGCCAATGGGATAAAACATTGGTACTATTACTGACGCCTGCCAGTGGGAGTGTGTTAAACACTAGTACTATTACTGATGCCTACCAGTGGGAGTTTGTTAAACACTGGTACTTCTGAAACCCTACCAATGGGGTTAAACATTGGTTATTACTGACGCCTGCCAGTGGGAGTGTGTTAAACACTGGTACTATTACTGACGCCTGCCAGTGGGAGTGTGTTAAACACTGTACCATTACTGATGCCTGCCAGTGGGAGTTTGTTAAACACTGGCCATGACTTATAGATGAGACTACTGAACTGAGTTTTCTTCTGCATTGACGGGTTGTCATTGAATGTTTTGCTATTAAACTGAATTTGATTTCCGCATTAACGGTTTATCATTGAAAGTTCTGTTATGCTTACGTGGTTTATTTGGCATGTTTAAAAGTTTTACCCAAGGGCTATCCATATTTACTTACTGAGTTATCTCATAGTTTTCCTTGTCCACCATGTCAGGAAGCGAAACCGAGGACGGGGAAAACCAAGGGGAGTGACGAGTTAGAAGGCTAGCCATCTTGTAAAGTGAATATAGATTTGAGATGTAGATCGTGATCTTAAGAGTTAGAGTGTATTTGGAGATTTTATGATATCAGAGTAAATTTTTAAAGATTTTATCTTCAGATTTTGGTGGTATCAGATTGTGCTTTGAATAAGCTAGATTGTAGTTGGAGATCGTATAAATTCATTTAATGGATTGTCAGATGTGAAGTGGATAAGTTCCGAGCCTTGTGCATTCGTGAGACTCGTTCATGAGTGCACGGCGTCTGTCGCACCTCGAATTCGGGTTTTGGGGCGTGAGAATCTGTGACTAAAAAAAATGAAACAAATACTACCATGTTGGTCACAATTAGGATTATTTGTGACCCAAAAACTTGTTACAACTATTATTATCAATGACAAAACAAAAAGGTCGTAAATTGAATGTGTGACAGAGTTTTTAGTCTTAAAAAAACATATCCCAAAAAATAAAAAAAGGGCATTTTTGAAAATTCAATAAACACTAGTATTCAATGATTTTGTTACTAAAATAACAACTATAAAATAGTCTCTTACAAAATTAGTCACTAAGAATTAAGTATCATAATTGAATAAAAATAAAATTTTGAATTAAATAATAATTTATTAAATAATTTCAATTAAATTTGCTTTTAAAATAATTAAAAA